GGAGGCTCCTTAAAAACAATTAAAAGAACTACGCTGCAAATTGAAAGGAATGACCTCCAAGGTGATATTCTCTGAAATATTGCCTATGCCATGCGCAACACAAGAAAGATGGGGAGATTAGAGAACTGAATGCATGGCTAAATAATTGGTGTAAGAAGGAAGAATTTGGTTTCTAGTGCACTGGTCTGGCTTTTCATTAGGGTACAACCTAAAAGCTAAAGACGTTTTGCACAAAAAATGATGCTCTAGACAGAATAAAGGTCAATAAAGCAACTGGACCACATGGAATACAGCCACAGTTCTAAACAAAATTGAGCTCTGTCATTTCAAGCCATTGATTCTAATATTTAGAGATTCTTTATTGGCTGACATAGAACTACTGAACTGTCATAAGGCCAATGTGGTGCCTGTATTTAGGAAGGGATCAAAGACTTCACCAAGTAACTACAGACCTGTTTAATTTCTATATTTGGGAAGATACTGGAGAGTTTAATAAAAGACCACATAGATGAGTTCTTGCTAGCAAAAAAATGTTTTAAGTAACAAACAACATGGATTCATGAAGGACATAAGTTGTCAAACAAATCTGATTTCTTTTTATGAAGAGGTGAACAAAACCTTAGACAAAGGAGTGGCTGTGGACGTGATATACTTGGACAGAGGTGTGGTAGTGGACATAGTATACTTGGATTTTGCAAAAGTGTTTGACACAGTTCCCCACACATGGCTAATGTGTAAAGTAAAGTTAACAGGCTTGGAAAAATCAGTTTGTAAATGGATAGAAAACTGGCTGAAAGATTGTAGGGATCATTGATTCATACTCTGAATGGTCTAGGGTTGTTAGTGGTGTACCCCAAGGTTCAGTGTTGGGACCCTTACTTTTTTATTATATTTATAAATAATATAGGGTCTAGGATTAAAATTACTATTTCAGTGTTGCAGATGACACCAAGCTGTGCAGTGGAATTACATCCTTACAGGCCAATTTACAAGCCGACCTCAATGCACTGTCTAATTGGGCAACTATGTGGAAAATAAGGTTTAATGTTGATAAATGTAAGGTTATGCATTTGGCGGCTAAGAATATGCATCCATCATACATACTAGGGGGGGGTACAACTGGGGGAATCAATCTGATCTGGGAGTTCTGGTAGACCATAAGCTTAATAATAACATGAATGCCAAGCTTCGATTTCCAAAGCAAGCAAAATCCTCTCTTGTATTAAGAGAGCTACAGTATAGACTCCAGAGAGAGAGCTAACATTTGACCCTTGTATAAATCATTAGTAAGACTGGAATATGCAGTTCAGTTTTGGGCACCAATTTACAAAAAAGGATATTGGGGAACTGGAGAAAGTGCAGAGAAGGGCAACCAAACTGATAAGAGGCTTGGAGGAGCTCAGCTATGAGGAAAGATTAGAGGAACTGAATTTATTCTCTCTTGAAAAGAGGAGATTAAGGGGGATATGATCAACATGTATAAATACATAGGTGGTCCATATAGTGAACTTGGTGTAGAGTTGTTCACAGTAAGATCATCACAAAGAACAAGGGGGCACGCCTTACGTCTGGAGGAAAAGAGATTTAATCTCCAAATTTAGTAAGGCTTCTTCACAACAAGAGCTGTGAAAATCTGAAATAGACTCCCTCAGCAGCTGGTTCTGGCTCTGTGTATCATGTGGAATGGAGGTAAACAATGAAGGCACATCTGGGATGATGGGTGCAATTGGAATAATGAGATTGTTAATGGCCCTGAGATGTTGCACTGAACGATAAGTACCATCAATATTCTTGTGACAAAGGATACTGCTTTAGATATACTGGACCAACTCCAGGTTTGAGTCTGGCCTTGTAAGGTATAAGGAGAATATACCCTACACCTAGCTTACTGTTGGCACAGTCTTCAGGCTTCACTTTGTCTAAATCTTTCATGCTCACAAAACAGTGAGATGACTTCATGTGCACCCCTCCCTTCTCACTTACTCTGATTGTGGCCTTGAATTTTCCCAACAGATCTCTCCCTAGCAAATTCATAGGGCACCCTGATAAGATTTTGAAAGAATGTTTCACTATGGAACCTTTCCCGTGAGAGTCTGAAATACTCAAAGGGGGTGTTTCCCAGGTTTTGGCACATATCCCAATGATACCATCTGAAGATTCACATTCTACTCTTGTCCCCTATTTCTGTTGCTACCTCTTTCTCTAGGATTATAACTATGTTGTCTCCTTGAAATGTGCTTTGTTGGTAGATTTGGAGACCTCAAAACATCCAGCGGAGTCTTTCTCCATCATTTGTTTTTCAAACATACCTGCATCCATCTCTGTCCAGTTTGAAATAGGCTGTCTTACCAACAGCAAAACTTCAAATCTGTATCCTGCCATCAAGGTTTGGATATATATAGTGCCCATTTCTGCATTTACCATATCCATCCCAGCTTCTTGCTTCCAAACTTTGCTAAATCTTTTCACATGCTCTGTCACTGTCTCTTTTTGTTCCTTGCTTACAAATAAGAGCAGTTGCTAATGATTTCCTACTCTTCCATACTCACTCCATCTCGGCTGTCACCTCCTCCTACACCTTTCTCTAAATGTCTTCCTTCAGCCATACATGAGTGACTGCCGGGGTTCCAGGATCAACTAGAACATATATTGTAGACACCTTTGTCCAGTCAAACCCTGAGTTCATGTCATATCCCAAAATTCCGTCAATTATTAATTTCATGTTCTGCTGTGAACTCTGACTGTCTTGTATGGCTCTCTTCTCTTCCTCCCTTCTTTACCCCTCACTTCTCCCTTTCTGTACTATTAGGACTCATCCTCTCTTTTAGGCAGAGCTGAATATACTTCTGTATAACTTGTCAGAGCAGATGGTGGGGGGGGGGGTTAAAGAGTGGAAATTGAATTTACTGTGCTCTGGAGTGTAACCAGATGCATATTTTGGCCAATGAAAACCTGCTGCTTTCAGATACTGTATCCCATAACAATACCGTTATCACACATTCCTTACAAGTTAACCTAGACAATTCAGGATATATTGTCTTTTTCTTCTTTTTTTTTTTCAGCAATATCACTTAACACCTTATGCGTACTCTTAATGTTTGGGTAGAGATCTTTCACCTTAGATATACCCTCTGACCCAAAAACAGCTGTTAGACAAAGCAATAAATATTACAGTGTCAGTACTTATTCTCTGAAGCGGAGACGCTGTAATGCTGACAAAGCCTTCTCAACATTTCAGGAGTTTAACACTTAAAAGTACGGACCTTGTAATATCCCTATACTGTAACACAAAATACTACTTAACAGTTTCTTAACATACAGCAAGTAAGCACTTATACTTCTAAAATGGCAAAAATAAATGAGGACTCTTGTGAATTCACAATTATACCTGCCTAGGCAATTTTTCCCCAGAAGTTCCCAAAACCTCTGAATTTCCTTTGAGGACCCACCTAAAAGACTCTCCGTGAGAGTCTTTTAAACAATCTCAAACGGAAACTTTGGCTACTATCCCTGGGTCTTAAAGGGGGACAATCCAGGTAAAACTAAGACTGGCTCAGCTTACCTGACTGGTCATGCCTTTAATCCCACTTCTGACACCAGATTGCAAGGATTCAACCTATGTCTGTAGCCCTTGTCCTCGTTATTTTCACCCTCAGGCTTGGGAGAAATAAAGCTCTGGACACCGAAGTGTGCAAGCTATATCTCTGAAAGTTTAATGCATGACAAGAATGGTTATACAGAACTCAGTGGCTTTGCTTAATCTCAGGATGACCAATGAAACATTCCATTCTTATCAATATAGTTACGTGAAGAACTGAAACTGCTAATAGTTGAGGGATACCATGTAAGGTAGTTCCATTTACAGAAATGAAACTAGTCTAAGAAAACGAGAGAGAAGTTATAAAATCAAAACTAACTGTTCACTCGTCTAGAAATGGAGGCATTATACAAAATGGATGCCAGTTTATCAGACATATTTCCATACAGTCCTTCTGATTATAGAATTTACTATTACCAACTGTATAGGCCTTCCTGCACAATCCTGACAACCTGTACTGGATGGGCTGCTCTCCCAGCTGTTAGGTGTAGAAGTGACATCCAGGCTGCCACCTCTGTGTTTGCCACTTCCACATCTCAACTTGGCAAATTTGTTTAGATGCTGAAACACAGGTCTGGCCTCCTTTTCTGTGATCCCCTACCACTCCCCCTAGCTACATTAACCCATCTTCCTACCTCATAATCCTGACTTAGCCCTCCACCCTCCACATCAACCCCAGTAACTATCTGTTCATTGAGCAGAAGGCTCCTTTCAAGGTTGTCCTTTCTGCTCAGTGTTGCAACTTGCTCCTCCAGATCTCTAATGTGAGCTTCTAGAATGGCAACCTGCTCACATCTGTCACAGTGGTATGCAAACCTGAGCTGTTGCACCATTTTTGCATACATATGACACACTGTGCACTGAGCAAAATCTTTAGCGATGCTAGCACCCATTATTGCTGTTACAATATAATTACTTCTAGGACATTTAAGATGTGACTTACAGGTTAGAAGACTCCTGTCTTAACTCCTGTTTGCAACACCTAGTTAACTCTCCACTAGTTCAAAATTCCACTTTCCGCAGGCCAGCATTAACTCAAGCTCAAATGGAGAAGTATAGAAACTTATATACACTTGTTAACAATTAGCAGACTTAAGGAAAAAAAGTGCAGTTTAACCACTTGCCTACTGGGCACCTTTACCCCCTTCCTGCCCAGGTCAATTTTCAATTTCAACGCTGTCGCACTTTGAATGACAATTGTGCGGTCATGCAACACTGTGCCCATATGAAATTTTTATAATTTTGGTCACACAAATAGAGCTTTCTTTTGATGGTATTTAATCACCACTGGAGTTTTTATTTTTTGCTAAACAAACAAAAAAGTTCAAACATTTTGAAAAAAAAAGTTTTTCTTAGTTTCTATTATAATTTTGCAAACAGGTGCTTTTTCTTCTTCACTGATGTACACTGATGAGGCTGCACTGATGGGCACTGATAGGCAGCACTGATGGACACTGATAGGCAGCCCTAATGAGGCTGCACTGATTTGTGGCAATGATGGGCACTGATAGGTGGCACTGATGGCCTCTAACCGGCAGCACTGAAAGGAACTAATAGCAGCATTGAAGGACACTGATAGGTGGCACTGACTTGCAGCACTGATGGGCACTAATTGGCAGCACTGATGGGCACTGGCTGGCAGCACTGCTGGGCACTAATTGGCAGCACTGATGGGCACTGGCTGGCAGCACTGCTGGGCACTGATTTTCAGCACTGCTGGGCACTGATTGGCAATGATAGGCAGCACCGATGGGCACTTTTGGGGCTGCACTGATAATCAGAGCACTGATTATCAGTGTAGATGTCTCCTTTCACACGTGCTGGCTATTGGCAGTACTTAAAGTGCTACCGATAACCAGCGAGTGTATTTACATCGTGATCAGCTGTGATTGAACACAGATGAGCACATGGTAAACGGCCGCTGTGATTGGCCCTTTACCATGACATGTGATCAGCTGTGTCCAAAGGACACAGATCATAAAATTCCCCCGGGTGTGCGCTGCAGCGGGCGCATGGTTTTCGGAGTAAATCATATGGCATCTTCCCAGAACTGGATGGATGCACTGTAACCATCATTTGGCTATAGCATGGTCAGCGAATGGGTAAAAAGTGTCAGAAAAGGAGGGAGAAAAAAAGGAAAACTTCTATACACCTGTGAACAGAGGCGGACTGACAACTCATGGGGCCCCCGGGCAATAGGGGGTCATGGGGCCCCTGTGTCCTTGCCCACACTCAAAAAAAGCCTATAAAAAAGGTACCAGGGGCATTTCATGGGGCCCCCTACTGACCCCTGGCCCTCGGGCAGTGCCCGAGTGCTCGAATGGTCAGTCCGCCCCTGCCTGTGAACAATTAACCACTCCCCTTAATTAAGAGACTGAAAGTAAAAAATGCTGTTTAAAAAGTGTCAGAAAAGGAGGGAGAAAAAAATAACTTAAAAACTGATAGCAAACTTATCAAATATATATAAAAAAAAAACAATTGCAACCAGAAGCAGCCCCAAGCAGTCAAAAGCACAATGCCTGGTTTTTAACTCTTCATTTTAGTTCAAAATTCCACTTTTGTTCACAAATTCCACATGCAAGCCACCATCAAGCATGAGCAAGACATTGCCGATGGGGCTGATTTATTAAAATCGACCAATCAGCTTCCAGGTTTTATTGTCACAGCTTAATTGAACAAGCTCAAGTTGGAAGCTGATTGTCTACCATGCACAGCTGCACCAGATTTTGCACTCTTCAGCTTTAGTAAATCAATCCTCATGAGTTGCTCCAACAGTAGAAGCAAGCTAGTTACTGTCTGTTTGGAAACGTTTGCCCACACCAAATTATGTCCAGGGTGCTGTCCCAACTGGAGTATGATAAGAGAGTGTTTTCTCAGTTGAGTATATGAAATGTTGGTAGTAGCAAAAAAGATAATCTATTGTGTTTATGTCTTATAACAGATACAATTTTGTGAATGCTCTTAAAATGTGTTTTTATTTTTAGCCACTACAAAGTATCACAACATGTTTTGCTTTCTCTACCAAATGGTAGAAATGTATTCTTTGGTCTCATATAAGGTTGATTTACTAAAGGCAAAAAGGCTGTTCATTTTGCAAGGGAATTTTCCCTCAGCTGAATGAATGAGGTGAAGCTCTGCAAACCTCCATTATCCAATCATATCCAAGAAAAAATGCTGTTTTTTTTCTTTAAAATTTTCAATCTTTTAATAAAAGATTTTGAAAATGATTGCTATTAGATTCTTTTTAGGAGGTTCTATGAACAGTAGATTCCATTAACATAAACTGTGAAATGTATGTTACAGATAAACCGCAATGGATGGCTTGCTATTAGGGACAGTAGAATAAAGTTTGAAGCCTACTTGTTTTTATTTCCAAACATATATTTAAAGTGTTATTAAACCCACGAGAATAAAATCTGTCTGCATATGCAGTAATGTACCCTTGTCATACTCACTCTGGCACCTAAGAGGTTAATCCTCAGCATTGTGTAAAAAACCTGATTGTTCATGACAGCCACTGATCTTTCCTTCTTTCACTGTCCCCAATTCAGCTGTTGATTCTACAGAGCAGTGTTGGCAACAATGAGCATGCTCTGTTTTATCTGTGTTTAGCTACAGGACATTTCCTCTGTGATCAGAGCTGTGCTGGTGACATGGTCTCATGTGGGTGTATATACAGATGAGGAATGACAGCCCACATCCTTCTTCCTCCTCCATGACCACTAACTAGCAAAATACACAGTGGGCAGAATAGTGAAAGATTATCATGGACGTATAGCTCTGCCCATACCATGTTTTGCTGAATAATAACAAAGCTTAGATTTCAGATATGTACTTATATGCTCATTTTATACAAGCATGTAATGTTAAATCTATATTTTTCTATATCACTAAAGACTTTTTTTTTTTTGGGGGGGGGGGGGGTCATGTGACAGGGTCAGCACCAATCAGGACTGTCTGAACACAAGGGTCATAATTTATGCTTCCTCTTCTGATGTACATAGGTACATCAAAAGGGAAATGAAGCTCCTCCTATGATTTCAGCACTGCTCTCAGCATTAGATATGAATCATGTGACCACTGTATACAGCTATGACATATGAATCATGTGACCACTGTATACAGCTATGACATACAGTTACTTAGCAGTTTAATTTTGCTAATGAACTACACAAAGATGAGTAGCATACTATGGCAGACAATATAAAGGTTTGTGTTTAGTATCACTTTAATACACATTTATTGAGATTGTGTCAATATATAAATATGGTGATTTTGAATTTTATAATTAATTTATAATGTCTAAATCATTATAGGGCTAACATTTCCCTTTGGGGAGAAGTTAATGTAGATTTACATCTTCTGGCAATTTAGAAAGTAACAAAGAATTTTAGGATTCCAAGGTATAACGGTTCTCAAAATGTTTTAAATTCATTCATAATTTCCACTTAAAATATATTAATTTTTGCCATATAACCTCCTTTTAGCTACAACATAGGTCCATTAGGTTTGACCATATTGGCCAGGGGTTTTGTCTCTCTAATAAAATGATTTGTTACATACTATATATATCAACTTTGGTATATTAAGAATTATTACTGCTTAGATTTCATTTGAAGGATATGAGATGTAAAAGTTTTTGTGAAACATTTTGCAATAACTCCTGATACTTGGACAGGAATGGTCACACAAGATTATCCATCTACTCCAAAAAGCCTTTGCTATTTCTCAAGTTGGAACAGGTAATTGCCAGTGTTCTAAGTCATGATTCAGAACATTTGCACTTCCAATTGGAGAAATGTTGCTTATCAACAAATAAACAATTCTGTTTTCTGCAGCAGGGCTTTATTCCTAATCTGATGGTTTGTATCGTTGTGAAAATTGTAAATGAAACATTTTTTTAAATAATATTACATTATAAAATGTGTAGCAATTATATATATTTTATAAAAAAATATATATAGTTTCCTTTTAATGTTTACCTAGTTTTCTCATACAAAAACTTATCAGCAATTTCAGAGTTTCATCCCTCTTCTCCTGTGTATAAAGTGGCAGAGAGGCACATGGCAATCTTTAGAAAAATGCCAGTTGGCTGCAAAAATAAATTACTTTGAAAATACCTTGTTTTCTTGCGTCCTTTGGAGTCTCTTGTTCAGCAAGCAATTGACAAATGCTTTTATATAATATTTTTGTTGAATCTGGCATTTTTCTTGCAGAGCTAAATGTTTAATATGTGCTGTCCTCCCTTTACATGATATTTTATGTGTTTTTCAAGACTACGCCTAATACCTTTGATTACTTTTTTACACTTCCTTTTTTTAGTGTCATCATGCTCTGTTAGTTTCCCTCCCTGTAAATAGATAGCCTGACTTCTTTATTATAACAGAATGTGAAACCACATAAAAAATACTAGGTACAATCAATGGCGTAAAAGGATTGTAATAATATGTCATTTTGTTCAAACAACTTTGAAGTCTAAACACCATCTTTTATAAACAAAACTTTGCTGTATGTACATTGACTTTACAAGCCAACATGAATGTGAGTTAGGGCCAGGGGCGGACTAACCATTTGGAAACTCGGGCACTGCCCGAGGGCCCGGGGTCAGTAGGGGGCCCCATGAGATGCCCCTGGTACCTTTTTCATAGGCTTTTTTGAGTTTAGACAAGGACACAGGGGCCCCATGATCCCCTATTGCCCGGGGGCCCTGTGAGTTGTCAGTCCGCCCCTGGTTAAGGACCTTCGATTTTAAGCTACTTGAGAGAGGGGTCTGATGTGAATGTACAATATATGCAAAGTGCTACATGAATTGATGGCACAATATAAGTACCTATAATAATTACAGACATCCTTCTGCCACCACGTATGATGAAGGTTTATGGGCAAGTTAGAAATACTTAATGAAAGTTTATTGGCAATAGCCTATTGTTCCTTAAAATGTACACTATATTGCCAAAAGTATTGGGATGTCTGCCTTTACACACACATGAACTTTAATGGCATCCCAGTCTCACCCTAGGTTCACACCTAACCTTTTAACACAGCATTTTGCAGAAACGCAATACGATGCATTTAACATGATTTCCCATGGGACATGTTCACATCTCCTTGTTTTCACCTGGTATGTTTTTTGGAAAGGGTCAAGGACTTTTTTGAATGCAAAAAGTTGTGTTTTGGGTTCTATAGACTTCAATGGAAACGCTCCAAAAAAGCATGTAGTGCATTTTTGCTGCGTTTTTGCCACATTTTTTATGCATTTTTGATGCGTTTTGCATTTTAAATCTGCCTAGCAACAAGAAAAATTAAAAAACCAAAGCGCATCAAAAACATGGCAAAAATGCAACGCAAAATGCAATGCAGAAATGGGTCAAATGCAAACTGCATAGGTGTGAACCTAGAATTAGTCCGTAGGTTTCAATACTGATTTGGCCACCCTTTGCAGCTATAACAGATTCAACTTTTCTGGGAAAGCTGTCCTCAAGGTTTAGGAGTGTGTCTATGGAAATATTTGACCATTCTTCCAGAAGCGTATTTGTGAGGTCAGGCACTGATGTCGGACAATAAGGCCTGGCTTGCAGTCTCCGCTCTAATTTATCCAAAGGTGTTCTATTGGGTTGAGGTCAGGACTCTGTGCAGCCAGTCAAGTTCCTCCACCCCAAAGTTGCTCATCCATGTTTTTATGGACCTTGCTTTGTGCACTGGTGCGCAGTCATGTTAGAACAGGAAAGGGCCATCCCTAAACTGTTCCCACAAAGTTGGGAGCAAAAAATTGGCCAAAATGTCTTGGTATGCTGACGACTTAAGAGTTCCATTCACTGGAACTAAGGGGCCAAGCCCAACCCTTGAAAAACAACCGCGCACCACAATCCCCCCTCCACCAAACTTTACACTTGGCACAATGCAGTCAGCCAAGTACCGTTTGCCTGTCAACTGCCAAACCCAGACATGTCCATCGGATTGCCAGACAGAGAAGCGTGATCGGTCACTCCAGAGAATGCATCTCCACTTCTCTACAGTCAATTGATGGCATACTTTGCACCACTGCATCTGACGCTTTGCATTGTACTTGGTGATGTAAGGCTTGGATGCAGCTGCTCGGCCACGGAAACCCATTCCATGAAGCTCTCTATGCACTGTTGTTGTGCTAATCTGAAGGCCACATGAAGTTTGGAGGTCTTTAGCTATTGACTCTGCAGACAGTTAGCGACTTCTGCACACTGTACACCTCAGCATGCGCTCCGTGTTGCTGTTGTTCCCAGTTGCTTCCTCTCTGTTATAATACCACTAACAGTTGACTGGAATATTTAGTAGCAAGCAAATTTACGGATGGACTTTTTG